ACTAGTTGAAAATGGAAAATTTAAATATATCTACTTCATCAACTCCTTCACAACCAAACACACTTCAAAAAACCCTTCAATATATAATCCACAATCGTCAAGAATGGTGGGTTTATGCCATTTTTTGGCAAGCATCCAAGGACGTTAATAACCGTCTCATTTTATCGTGGGGCGATGGCCATTTTCGCGGAACTAAAGACACAACAGGTTCCACGAAAACAGGTCATGGTCAATATCATCAATTTCAGAAGAAATTTGGTTTCAATGATATTAGTGAAACAAATAATAACGTTACGGATACAGAGTGGTTTTATATGGTGTCTATGCCACAATGTTTCGTGGCCGATGATGACCTCGTTATACGAGCTTACACCTCGGCCTCACACGTGTGGCTAGCTAGCTATTACGAATTGCAAATTTATAATTGTGAGAGAGCTAAAGAAGCTAATTTACATGGAATACGTACGATTGTGTGTATTTCTACGACTAGTGGTGTTGTTGAATTGGGTTCCTCTGATGTTATTCAAGAAAATTGGGAATTTGTTCAATTCATTAGGTCTCTATTTGGATCAAATAATAACATGAATACGACTTCTCATCTACCTGTCAATCAAGGTACATATTTTAAGTTTTTAGTTTTGATTTGAACTGTATAATCGTTTTATCTAATTGTTTTTTTAAAAATTTATATGAGATATTTAAATTACATCGTAACAAATATTAAAAAAGAAAAGAAAGACTTTTAAAATTTATGACAATAACAAACATTAAAAAAGAAAAAAAAGACTTTTAAAAATATAGTATAATGTCACAGTTAATTTTTATTTTACTTTTTGCTTAAAAACGAAAGGATTTTATTTAAGAAAAAAAATCAAGAATACCCTTTAATATTAAAAATGTCTCAGTCGATTTCACCTTTTGGCCCTCCACCTTTATTTTTGGTTAAAAAAATATTCCCCTCCTTCCACTTTCTGATCTAAAAATAATATTAACGCAAATTTAATTTAATTTAATTGGATTCTTTTAGTGATTAATTAGTTGATTCTTTTATTTGTTCTAATAGATAATTCTCAATTTATTCAAATTTTTAATATTAGCTCATTCGAAAATGATAAAATATTTAACTAATAAAAATTAAACAAAATATTTATTGTTTAAAACTAAAAAGTAAATTTCTTATATTTGTTCTAAAAGATATTTCTTTATTTTATTCAAATTTTTATTGGCTCATTCCAGAAAGTTTAAAATATTTAAATATATAAAATTCATATAAAATATTTATTGTTTAAAAATAAATAATACAAATCTTATTCTTTTAGACTTTTTTATTTTTTTTTCTCTGACCTTTTGTTACCTTATTACTAAATTTCATCCTGATCCAATAATGCAGACCTGTTATTATTACCATCAATAATGAGAGTACATTATTTTATTTTTTTTGGGAATAAAATAGAAGAAAATTTAGTGTAGTGTTAGCCATCATAAGATGGATTTCGATGCCCATGTATAGTGGTTCCTAGTAGAATAAAATAAATGATTTATTATTATTATTATTATTATTATTATATGTTATTTATTAAAAATTAAATTAAAGAAAACATCAAATATCAATATAATAAGATTTTAATAAGATGATTTGAATATAATTTACAAAATTAATCAAAATAAATAAAAAATCACTCCACAAATTAAAAAACATAAAATAAATGTGTACAAAACGTTAAATAAAGTAAATAATTTATTATGTAAAAATGAAGAGTAAAAATTTTGTTCTGTTGTTATTAGTAAGAATTTTATCCTTCATTTCTACACAATAAATTATTTATTTTATTTTTTAGACTTGAATATTTTGAAGTTAACTAATATTAAGAACTATAATAAATAAGAAATTATATTTTAGAACAAATAGGAGAATTAACTTATTAATAAAAGAATTAAATTAAATTAAATTTGAATCGAGAGTATTTTTGGACCAAAAAATTGTGGATGTGTTTTAGAGATACAAAAAATGAAAACCTATTTGAGCTCAATATTAGTCTCTATATTTAGATCATACAACAACATGAGTATGATTTCTCATTTACACATTAATTAAGGTATTTTGAGTGAGCATAATTTTATTATTATGCGATTCATCTCATTTAAAAGTTAATAGAAATAGTATAATTTTAATTATTTTTTTTGGGATTCTCATTTATTTAATTACATTATGTCTCAACAGTAACCTTGGGAGATGATCATAAGGTTGCAAAATGTGGATCTAATATAATAGTAAAGCAAGAAATGACTATCGGAAATTTATTATCTGAATCGGGTATTTCTGATTTCGAAAATGATGACTCTTTAACCATCAACAATGTTATGAATGGGTCAATAAAACGAGCAAAGAAGGGTGATTCGAGCCATATAAGACGAGAAATGGCTATGGATGTTCACGTAGAGGCAGAGAGAAAAAGAAGGGAAAAGTTAAATCATAGATTTTACGCTCTACGGAGCGTAGTCCCATACGTGTCCAAAATGGACAAGGCTTCATTGCTAGGTGACGCAGTTACTTATATCAATGAACTTAAAGCTAAAATTAAAAATTTAGAATCCAAATTAATCGAGCCCCAGAAAAAACATATACTTATGGAACAACACGATTCTCATAGTGCATCCTCCACTATTGTAACTGATCATGGGGCAAACAACAAGTCATTATTTTCTAGCAACGGGGTACGAAACGGGATGGAAATTGAAGTGAAAATTATTGGATCTGAAGGTGTGATTCGGGTTCAATCTCTGGATATGAACTATCCATGTACTAGATTGATGAACGCGATGAAAGAAATGAAATTTCAGATTTACCATGCAAGTATTTCCAGTGTTAAAGATTTGATGCTTCAAGATATCGTGATTAGGGTTCCTGAGGAGTTTTCGAATGAGGAAACATTGAAATCTGCTATCATCTCAAAATTAAGTGTTATGGAGAATTAATTGATATGTATTAAGCATATAGTATTATTCTATGTAATTCATATATATGTGTGTATTTGTATTTGTTAGTTCGTTTAATTAGCTTGTATGTAACGTGTGTGACCATCAAGAGCGACTTTTGTTTGCTCTGATACCATATCATGTAGTGTGTAACTATCTTATCTAAAATTTTAAGTTATTAGATAAAACATATTTTTATTAGTTGATGATATTTTCAACAAAATGCAATTGATAATTTCAACCGATTGAATATTACTACCATTATCAAGAAAAAAGGCCTTCAATCTTTATTAACAATAAGAAATGTGTTGTGTTTTGTCCTTTAAAATGCTCAAAACTCTCAGAGGAACTCAAATATAAATTTATGTTAGGTCATATAGGAAGAAAATAGACAAAACTCTTCCAAGGCTTTGATCAAATGGTAAGAACACGATAAGTGATGTATAAGGTTAGACACATGCCACGTGTTTGAATTTTATCGTGTATAAAATTGTGACATGTATTTGAATTTTATCGTATATAAAATCGTGATATGTTTAAATAGAAGAGGATAGAAGGTCAAATTCAATGTCTAAGCAAATTCGAATCATGCATCATTGACAAAAATTGAGTTTGGAGCCTAAAGGGTATAAAATATTAACAAAAATTATAAAACGGTATATAAAATTTTATATAACCAAAACGGTAAAATCACTGGAACAACAGCGATTCCTTCCGCCGGAAAAAGCAAAATCGCTGCTACTGCAACGATTTTGCAAAATGTGATTTTTTTATATTAAAAAAAATCTTTAAGGCAGCGGTTTTTATTTTTTATTTTTAAAAAAAGAATTCATGAAAATCGATGGCACACATCTTATTTGAATTTTTTTAAAATAAAAATGATTTTTTCCGGTGGAGGAAATCGCTATTGTTCCAGCGATTTTGCCGTTTTGGTTAATATAAAATTTTATATACCGTTATGAAATTTTTGTTAATATTTTATATCCTTTATGCTTCGGACTCGATAAATTTTTTTATTATGAATGAGGTACAACTTACACTAATTATATGAAGGAGTATCTTATTATTATTATATTTCAATTTGTGGGGATCTATAATGAAATTCATAGTCTATATTTTGATATTAACAAAAGTACATAGTTGGTGTGTGTTGAATAATTTATTATTATACAAAATATATTTGGGCCTGAGAATTAGGTATTTTTTTTAAATTATATTAATTATGAAGATTATAAAGATGCCAAGAGCAAAGTAGCCAAAAGTATTTAACCTTTATCAAAAGTAAATGACTTTTAATTCCTCTAATTAGATTTGATGTCTAATTCTTATAATATAAACTCCATTATTTGTCCTTCAAAAGTTTCAATAGTAAGATCACCTATCTCCACCTTCACCTGTCAATGCATCTATTCTTTAATTATTTTCCTAAAATGTTATTATTATATTACTATATTCTTAGCTAATTAATAATGAAAGAGCTATTAATAGCAGTGCCAACTATAATATCTTTTTAGCCACAATATATATAATAGAGCTTTCATCTATTTCTTCACTATATTATATTTCATGCATGTGTTTCTTATCCATGGGATACCCCTAATTATTGGTTAATGATCAAATAATCCCTTCATTATAAATTATTTATCTTATTTTTTTTTTAAGAACGCAAAATTTAAAAACAATTTGGTACATTCAATATATCATTAATTTAAAATTATAAGATTCAACTTCGTATCAAATTAAACACGTAAAACAAGTGAATTGAAATAGAAGAAGTATGTGTTTTTAATATATATATTTTAAAAATCCACTGCTTTATTATAAGAACGAAGTGATCGATTGAGTAGGCAAATGAATATTTGAATCGAATTAAGGTCGATTTATCTAAGAAAATGATCAGATGATTACACACTTCAATAATAACAATATTAATATAAGATATTTCGTGGCCTGATATTCAACAACAACAACAAAAAAAAAATGAAAATTATCCTAGTCCAATAAAGCTTTTAACTATATCCAAATTAATTTTTCTTCATTGGATATCGTTTTTAACTTATGATTAAAAAAAATAAAATGATATATGGTACGTACGTAACAAGTAATAACATTTCTTTAGGATCATGAAAATAATCAAAACACTTGTAGAAAATAGTTCAATTAATTACTTGTGGAATTAATTATTATTCCAAATTTCTTCAAGTTCTCTAGCAAAAGCTTGTTGTCTTCCTACAACAATGGTGATATGATCTTTGTTCTTGACAACGTTAACGCGAGCACGAGGGACTCTGGACTGAACATTGTAGCTGCATTCGACGGGGATAAGTTCATCATCTTCACCATGAATCACCGTGACTTCGCCTTTTAGACGATTTTTCACCATGTCTAAGTATCCTTCTATTTTTCCAGCAGTACCACAAATGATGTTGTGTAGTGTATGCCATGCTGCATTGTGTGTGTGGCAGCAAAATCCATCTACTAGGTATGTTCTTATCCTGTATATATATAGTTAATATCGAATTATCGATCATCATAATTGAATACGATGTTAAAAAAAAAGAGTTTTTGATATATAAAACATTTCGTATTTAATAGGGGGTCTAGGGTATTGGATGTCATAACTAGGACAAGTCTACTACTTTGTTTATGTGACTAATATTGTCATTATGATAAATGAATGGGAAGAGCCACAATAGTGAAAGGAGTTTAATACAAGCATATATATATATATATATATATCAAAAATTTTATCATTGCTTTAAGACTACTGTTCAAAAAACTAATGCTATTGAAAGACAGAAAAGAGATTGATTAAGGTAATTTGTTTGTTAAATTACATTTAACAAAAAAAAAATTTATTGGAGAATGGAGATGATTTAGTAAGAAGTATAAGTTCTACTTTCTCCATTTCACAAATAATGATCTGGTTTGATTTGGTACGAAATTTAAAAATACAAAGAAGATTTTTGAATTTTTCTGGTCTTAAATTAAAGTTATGTCAAATGTACTTAATTGTTCTTTAATCTTGTGACCTTAAACAAGTCACGTGGAAAACTAAAATTAAAATGTAACTAAAAAAAGAAAGAGATCATTCTTTTTTAAACAAACTAAAAAGGAAAGAAGATAATTCTTTTTTAAACAGAGAGAGTATGTACTTATAATATGCAAAAGATATTTATTCGATCGCTTCTTTTTTTTTTTAATTTCTATCCAGTTTTCAGAGCCTATATTCAAACCCTAATTAAGACTAAATCTAAATCGCTCTTTCTCTACAACCAAAACTTAAACGTGATTTCTTATTAAGGATGAAATAGTTTCAGCATTACGCTCGACTCGTGTGGGTATTTATGCAATCACTTACTCTTAAACATTAGTAGTTGTGGGTATTTATGCAACCACTTGCTCTCAAGTCTTAAACATTAGTAGTTGGTGAGTTTGTAAAAATACGTAACTATCCTATTATTATTATTATTATTATTATTATTATGTTTATGTTAAATTATACCGACAATGTAAATCATTAGGTTTTTTTTCTACAAAGAAAATATGTTTCAACAGAATTCAATTACTTACCAACAAATTTTATGTTGTCATTTATAATTCCACTGTCCTACGTTACTATTTGGGTCAATGGTCAAGAACCGACTTGGCTGACAATTTATACGGATTAATTAATTATAAAGAATTAATGCAACAACAACCTATCAAAAATCAACCATTAATTCCAAGAGAGAAAGACAATTTTGCCCCTAAAAATAATCTCTTACGATCACTAAAAAAAAATACTCTTTTCAAATCTTTTAATATAAAAATAAAAATCACTAATAAAAAATAATATAAAATTATCTGACATGAATGACTGACATAACGATCACTAAAAAAATAATTTTTTCAAATCTCTTAGTATAAAAATAAAAATCTCTAATAAAAAATGATATAAAATAATTAAACTATCTGACATGAATGACTGACATAACGATCACTAAAAAAATATTCTTTTCAAAATTTTTGATATAAAATTAAAAATCTCTAATAAAAAAATGAAATAAAATAATCAAACTATCTTACACGAATGACTGAGATAATAAATCATTTGAGCAAAACCAGGAAAAAGGGAGTTGGAGCAGTAGATGCAGTTGGTGGGTGTGTGATTTGATTTAAGTAACACCCATTTATATCATATTCATATTTTTTGGCATGGACATTTATTAAAACAGCGATGTATAGAGTTATGAAGAAGGTTGTTGTGCACTGCTTCCTAATTTAATGCAAATAAAATTTCACAGGGAAAAAAAGGTTATTGGTATGACTTTATGATCACTCGGTAGAAAAAAATGAAATAATATCATATCATGTTAAAAATATTTTTTTAAATTCATGATACCAGTAAGAAAAAGAAGTTTGTAGATAAAGTTTGATGATCATAAATACTCGAACAATGTGTAGTTGTACCGGAACTTAGTACTAGAGGAATATTATTGAATGTGTATAATAGGATTAAATATAATTTATGTTATCATTAAATTAAACCAACAATTAATCTTAATATATAATGTGATCAACTTACACTTTTTCATTAATCTCTCATTATTTTCCTCAATAAGAGTTTCACTAATTTCCTCAAAAAAAAATTAACACTCTTCCAAGTAATTTTCCTACTCCATACGTCCCATTTTATTTGACTTTATAAATTTGTGGTCTAAAATAAATGATCAAATGTTTGTGTGACTATAAATCATTTCATTAAGGGTAAAATAGTCATTCTAAAGTTAAACTATTACTTAATATAGAAATCTATCATTCTTTTTTAGAGTGACTAAAATAGAAAGTGAGTCATAGACACGTGATATTGGTGAAGGTAGTTTGGACAATAAAACCTAATTCCATTAGAGATTTTTGACAAAATATAGACTATAGTTAGTGTTGGTAGGAAAATTTGGCACAATATTGAAATCATACACAAACACAAAGAGTAAAACACAAACACAAACATACCTGTTTCTGGTGATGAGTTTGGTGAGAAATTCCCACAAACGATGGTTTTTGCAGATGAGTAAGCAAATTGTTCTACTAACATGCTCATACCAACAAGCTAACGATGCCCCAAATGCAATCACAGGCCATACTCGTCGCGGCGCGATTCGTCTCATCATATACTGCGTTGCTTCTTCTCCCTTTGGTGTTGGAAAATATGGCTAATATATATATAGCATCACAAAACAAAATGATATCAATTGATAAAGTTGTACATGAATCTTTTCTTTACATTCTAGGATAACAACATCAGGTGTTAGTAACTGAGTTCTAATAAATTTGAATTTATCAATATCGAGGGTTAGCTAGTGACATTTGCTCATGTACATTCGAAAATTGAGCAACTCATATACTTAGGATAACGACATCAGATGTTAGTAACTAAGTTCTTAATTTGATTTTTTGAATATTCTTAATAATAAAACAAGGAATATGAACATGTCTCGTAACATGACTTCTAGCTCCGTCCCTGCCCCACTCTAAAAAAAAGTCTCAATTTTTGCCCTTGAGTTAATTTTAAACTATAGTTTTGACTTTTTATTTGGTGGAAAATTTGGATACGTAAGATCCACTAATTAAAACTATATAGAGTTCTTTTCACCTTTCCCACGGGGCTCTGGTTAATATAAAAAATTTTAATGTATAGATAAAATTGAACGATTTTCTAATCGTAATAAAAAAAGAAATTTGATATCTTACCGGTGCAAGTAAAGTTAGGGATTTAACTAAAGCAGGATGCTTTACAGCAAGTGCCAGTGCCAATATGCATCCCAATGAATGTGCCACAATGTGAAAAGATTTGACATTGTATTGCTCTAGTACTGATTTTTCAATCATCTCTAGATGTTCTCTTAAGGTGTAAAGTGACTCTTTTGGCTTCGGACTTCTTCCAAATCCTAGTAGATCCACCGCGAATAATCGATACTTCGATTTTGTACCCTTTGTAAAGTTTGGAAACAGAGTTTCTGTCCAAAACTCTGATGATGAAATGAATCCATGAATGAAAATCACATTTTCTTGTACGTTTTCTGTATTTATAACAACACAAATAAACCACATTAAACTTGTAAAAAAAAATACTTCTTTTGACTAAAATAAGTAACATTTTAGCAACATTAGCCTCTTTCTTATATTGAAAATGAAAAAGTCAACCAATTGAAATAGCGGAATTTCCTTTTAAGCGTAACATTACTTTATATTTCCTCAAATTACCTTTCATCTTGAGAAAGAGTAGATTTGAAGAAACATAGTGAAAAAGACGGACCTTACTGATTTTCTAAAGTGACACTCATTTTGAACCCGAAGATAAGAGAGAAGAGTAGTTACCTTTGGCACCGTCAATATGTACAAAAAGTGAATCTCTGGAAGAGGAAGTCCAAGAATTACAAGTTTTACAATCACAATCCGACCATCTCGGACCAATATTTGACTTTAAGCCACTAATTTTGCCTTGCAGCATCTCGACAATAGTTGAGTTCACAGTAAAAGTTGAGCGTAGAGCTCCTCTTTTCACAATTGGGGCAGCATTCTCCAATTTGAGCCTTTTAAGCTCATTCATAGTAAATTTCGATACTTCAGATACAAGCGAAGATCGCGTGTACAATGTGTCTGATATTTCTTCTAGCTGCAATTTATTGCGGCTAGAAGATGTCAGACACACAATCTTGGACTCAGAGACCAAGATTGTGTCACTGCTCATCATGGTTTGTTTAACTGACGAGCAGTAACAGGACTTCCACTCTGCTTCCACTATGAAATCAATTACTCTGTATACATAACATAACAAAAAATCAAGAACATCAAGAATTGTGAACACAAAGAAACTAATGACTTCATTCAATATTCTCCCTGCCATTGTGAATGTTAATTTCACCCTTTCGATAATCGACATATTAATTCGTTTGAAAAAAGAGTGAAAATTTTAGGGCATCAAGATTCACAAAGATGGTGTTTTGAACTTGCTTTGGTATGTCACAAAGATTATGTTAAAGTTTCTAGTGTCATTAGATGTTTGTAAAAAAACAACTAATGACACTAAGAATACAAATACAAGAAAAGAAAAAAAAATGTCACAATACCATAAAAAGAAAAGGTATTGTGTTTTGAGAGAATATAAGTAAAATGTAAAACATATATAAAATGATAACACAATGTTGTTAGTTTTGATTTTATTGGAAGGATAACGTGTGGGGTTGTGATGTTCTTTGTTTCAAAATTTGGTGGGAGAGAAGAAAGGGGGATATAGATAAATAAATATAGACACGTAAACTAATGAGTGAACTTTTAATGTTAACATTGAAAAAAAAAGTTTGATAGGAGACTAAGAAAAACAAGTTTGGTGGTGGTTGAACCTCTCACAAAATAAAAATTAAGATCTTATTTTAGATATGAGAATGCAACTAACATTTTTTTTTTTTTAGTATTAGTATTATTATCGTTAATCTGCTTTGAGGTTCGATTAATTAGAGGAGGGTAACACAATTTCTACCTATGACGATTCAGTTTTTTAGGTATCAAAATCAAGATAAAGAGTACTTATTACTCCATCGTAACCTTTTGTTGGAATTTTTTTTCTGAATTTCTTATCATGATTGAATTTTCATTTTACTAAAAAAAAACACAAATTTTACCATATTTTGCTAGTCATTTTTCTCGTAGAAAAAGATTTATGACTCTACAAAACAGATGGTTATTTCTTCTTACTTGGTAGCATTCACAATGTAGTCCTATGAGTTTTGAGAGTTTTGTGTAAAAGGAGAAACAGTGAGTCACAAGTGATACATTTATCACTATTGTGTACCTCTTTTTATTCTGAGTGAATTATGTGAGGTTATTTCTCTCGATATTATAGTCTTTCTTCTATATAGTGAATTGCTCATCTCCTCTTGTGGATGTTTGTCGATTGATCAAACTATATTAAATATTTTCATCTCTTATGATATATTTTTTGTTTATCTTCTTACCTACGGTCTTTCAAAATTCAGTTGAATTTACTAATTTCCGATAACACCTAAATATTTTGATCCTTAACACCTTTAACCCATTACAACATGTAATTCTTTCATAGAAAATGCTTCAAATTGAGTCGGTCTCTACATTGTTATTATATATCGTATATGTATAACTTAAAGTGCTACCTTAGATTAGAAATATGGAATATTTTTGTTAGATTAAATGATGTAAAGTGTTTCTAGAAAAAAAAAATTCCAATAGCTGTAATAAAATTAACTTCTGAGCTTCGATTATCTATATAAAGTTGTTACAAAACAACATATATATTTAGTAAACTTATTCGAGAGTTTTCTTTATTTTAGGTAAATAATAATTAAGTGAATTTATCTATCGATAAAGATATATCAAAATGATAATCTATGTTAAATATTTTTATTTTAAACTTAAGTAGCTCGTTGAAGAAAGCGTAAAAATAAGTAAGCATACTCTCAACTCGAAATTAATAGGAAAGTCTTAAAGCATGCCAAGTGGCTACGTGACAATAAAAAGGGATGTAATGCCATGTTTTGGCTAACAAGTGTAAGCATTTAGTTGAAAATTTAAATGCTAAATCATCACTTAAAATAATAAAGGATCTTGCTAAAATTTTGTATAAATTATATAATTAAGGATTATGATGGAGTGATAAATATATTATCGTTTTTAATTAGATGTTTTGAGTTCGAATTTCTTTTAAGTAGAGAATCTTCTTTATTGCATCCAAATTTAATTGCCAAACCTGCTTGTATTAATTGCTAAGTATCCCCAGCCACATGAGTTTGGCAGTTGCCATCCCCACAAACTGCAAAAGTCAACCCCTTCTGTTGACATTAAAATGTTTTATTTCGTAGCCGGTGGATCTCGAAGTAACAGTAAAATTATATTTCGAAAAATTGAGTCATAGATTATATCAACAATTGCTGCTTATGTTATTGGAGACTGCCTATACAACCTAAATGTGAAATACCTTGTGCAAGAGATAATATTTTATTTATTTTTTTTCGTTTTTAATAATAGTTATTCATTATACTTTGAGATATTCAATAATATTTGTTCATTTTATGAAATGAACAAATAATTTTATATTTAGTTTTTAATTTACTCTTATTATTAATCGTAATCATTTACTCTATTCGTTTAAAAAAATGATATAATTTGATTTGGAATAGAGTTTAAGAAAAGAAAGATTTATTTTTTATTTTTGTGGTTTTAAATTAAAGATATGTCAAATGTACTAAAATGTTCTTTAATCTTGTGGTCTTAATAATACCACATGGAAAGTTAAAAGTTAAAGTGTTGCCGAAAAGGTAAAAGGGGTCATTCTTCTTTAAACAAACTAATAAGAAAATAGAGTCATTCTTTTTTAAACGGAGGGCGTATCTATTACATTTTTCAAGACATTATATTTATTATTCTTTCGGTACACTTTTACTTGTTACATTTTGATTTGACACTCGTTAAGAGAATATTATTAATATGCGTATTTTACCATACTATCCCTATGTTTTGAAAAATAAGTATTTAATGATGAGGGTAAAACATGGAAAAAATATACTTCCTGCGTTTAAAAAAGGATGATCTAGTTTGAGTTGGAATGGAGTTTAAGAAAAGAAAGAATATTTTTTAATCTTGTGGTTCTAAATTAAAATTATGGCAAATGTACCAAAATGTCCTTTAATTTTGTAGTCTTAAACATGCTACGTGAAAAGATAAAAAGTATTACCAAAAAAAGGAAAGGGATCATTCTTTTTTAAACAAATTAAGAAGGAAATATGATCATTCTTTTTTTAAACGGAGGGAGTATTGTCTTTTCTTGATATGTCAAAAGTGACAAAGTAAAATTGAAAATCTATTATCGAAATAAGTGTCTAAAGACTTCGGATCACCAATATTACCTTAGCTCAAATATGATCTCTACGATAAACTTAAAAAATAAAAATAATAAACAATTTTTTTTATTATATCTTAATTTATATTAGTTTCTCAAGATAAATATATACCTTACATATCTTACATATGACTTTTTCGAAGTGCAACCCCATCCTATAGGATGATATCGCCTATGAATAAGTGACAAGTAGAAGTGAACGGAGAGAGTATATTCACTGGGTGATGTAGTAATATTATTCTTCTATTTATAAATTTCTTAAGAAACGTGGAAAATCAATTTCTTTCTTAGATAATGCTTCTTTCGATTTATTTTATATAATTTTATTTAACTTTATACGTAAAATAGACAAACTTTTAAAACTCGTAACAATTAACACTTATTGCTACATGTGTATGAAAGTAAATATTGGGAGAAGATAGGCAGTGTTGCTCTTTAATTAATTATTCACAAAATTCAAAATTTTCTAACTTATTTCTTGTGGTGAAGAAGGAAGTTGAATGTGAAGGGGTCCTTTTTAGTATTTATTGCTTTTTGCCTTTTGTGTTAGGAAGAGAGTTTTTAGGCAACTAATGGATCTCACCAAATTCTACCTTTATTAATGGCAGGTAGCTACTAGACAATTTGTTTGGCTACTGAAAACAACTTTTTTTTTTCAATTCTAAACTCTGATTAAATTTGAATTCTCGTTAAATAATTTTACATAGAGAGAAAGTGCTCTTAGGAAACTCGAATCCAGGACTCTGATTAAGGATGAATAAGTACTTGCAACGCATTCCTTTACTTGTACTTATTCATATTTGAAATTTTTTATTGTTAGATTTATTATTAAAAAAGGCACTAAACCATTGTCTTGTGGCATGCATTTCTTTTTTTAAAAAAAAATAAAAATAAAATACTTATCAAACTATTTGGAAAAAAATAAAATCAAAGTATTTGGAAATTTGTTCAAAGTTATGTGTTTTTTTCATCCAACATTAAAATAAATATTTATTACTTTGTGGACATAAATTAAATACAATGAATTAATACATGGTATTAAGATAAAAAAAGAAGGTGGGTAACGTAAATATTTAATTTTATTACTCTGTCGATAGTATCTCATTACGAATGCAACATGTGGGAGTTGATGCACCTTTTTTCTCCACTCATATTCAATATCAACGTTAAAATTCGATTAAATATAAATTCGCGCAAATACATCTTTGAAGATTATCCATTAAGATAATTAATTGATGTGCGATCGAATGGATTATACTTTTCAATCTTTAATAAAGCGTCTCAAATTACAGACATAAAATTACATAAGTTCTTGATAAGAAGTGGTCTCTCTTTGATATGTCTTACCAAGCTTGAAATTAGATTAACCAGAATAATATACACATATTAGTTATTTGAGTAAATTGATTAGATAATCACTCATATTTAAAAAAAATCGCTATATAATACCACTTTTATTTATTTTTACCATAATATCACCTAACTACGTATTAAAAAGTTCACTAAATATTTGACATGTTGTTTGGAAGAATATTTCCTTTACATACATGTACAAAATTATCGGACCTCAGTAAGAAAGTTCATAAAAATGACCATTTCAAATATCTTCACATGATATGACGTTAGATACATATATTTAAAAGTACAAAGTATCAATTTCAAAAGATTATTACAATGACCATTTCAAAGGTACCTAGTACAATTTTAATAATTTTAACAACTCATGCAAAGTGCCTGACATTTTACCATTTCATATCCCATCAATATATTATTGATACATAATACATATATATAGTTGTTGATATTTAACTATTACCATATGGTTCTTGTTATAATAGTAATAATAACATATATAGAAACAATGTATGTACATCATAATCTTGCAACTTTCACTATGACAATACTAATAATATTTATTTTCCAAATGTTTTATGTATTGCCCTTTTGTTCATCTACTTCAATTGCTACATTTGTGTTTGGAGATTCTTTGGTTGATTCTGGCAATAACAACTTCTTGTTTACCCTCTCTAAAGCTGACTCTCCTCCATATGGCATAGATTTTAAACCTTCTCATGGCCACCCTACTGGAAGATTCACCAATGGTCGCACCATTTCCGATATCGTTGGTAATTATACTGACTTAATTCATGTTCCTGAGTTTAAGTTCTATGTACTGATGATAGCGTAAGGTAATCACATGTAAAACTTATTTCCCTAGTCTCAATTTATCTGACACTAGGGATTTATCTAAGTAACGATAAAATGAAAATTGTAAAATTAAATTGTTTTTATTAAAAAAATAGAACAAACTAAAAAGGAAATTAACTAAAAGGGTGTGACAATTAGCTAGG